TATAGAAGTTCACTTGTCAAATTCTAGCCTTAAAGTCATATTGGTGGTATCAAAAGAAAGTAATTCTTTAAAAGATGATTATTAAGCTAACTCAACTTCAGAAATAAGGAATGTATGTGTAGATAAATCATCCCTTTGTCTTATTTCTGACAGTGACTGTTTCAGAAACCAAAATCAACAGTAATAGACATGCTACATATTTCCCTGTTTCTCTCTTTCTTCCCTTTTAAATGACATAAAAGTCTTAACATCATAGAGAGAGAGTTAAAAGAGACCTCATTTTGGGAGGCCCTAGAGAGATTAAGTGATACACTCATGATTTTACTGGTAATTAGTGTCAGAGTCAGAATTGGAACCCAAGACTGTTGACACTAAATCCAGCAGATTTCCCACTGTAGTAGTCTATCTTGTTTTCATAGAATCACAGAAATCTGAGAGCTAGAAGGGACCTCAGAGAATATGTGGCTAGTCCAAGCTGTGCCTGACCAAGAATCCCTTTGTCACAAAACACATAGTAAGCACTTGATGCTTCCTGAGTGATTGATTACTTCTCCAACAGATGGCCATCTGACCTTTTATTGAAGACCTGGGGATAGGAGGGGAGAGGGGGCCACCTCTTGAAGCAGCATTTTCCTAGGTAACTCTCACTGATAGGAAGTTTTTCCTTATATCTAGCCTAAATGTACCTCTCTGCAACTTCTACCCAGTGCTCCCATTCTTCCTTTGAGACCAAATTCAATGAATCCAGTCTCTTTTCCTCTTGACAATACAAGTACTTAACAGTTATCTCATATATGTGTGTGTGTGTGTGTGTGTGTGTGTGTGTGTGTGTGTGTGTGTGTGTGTGTGTATGTATATACATATATATACACATACATATATATATACATATATATATATATATATATATATATATAATTTTCCCTCTAAGTCTTGCCTTCTTCAGGATAAATATCCCTAGTTTCTTTAACCACTCCCAGTATGGCATGTCTTTAGTCTTTTCACTGCCCTTGTCACCTTTTTGCTCCAAGTCTTCTATATTTCTCCCAAAATGTAGTGAATTTAATGCAATAAATGTTCCAGGTGTGTGTGCCCTTAGGAGAGCAGAATATAACAAACTATTACCTCCCTCTTTCTGGGAAGTGGATCTCTTTGTGTTAGGAATTTTTTCCTTGTCCTTATGTTGAAATCTGCATGTGTACAACCTCTACCCATTGGTGTAATGGAAGGAACCCTTGTTCCAGAGTCATGACTTGGGTTCTTTCTGGCTCTTTTTACTCTCTGTGTAACACTTAAGGACACTTAATCCTCTCTGAATTTCTGGGACTAGCCTTTATTGCAACAAGCTGTCTCTGCTCTTCATACATAATCTCCTTTTGCCCATAATCATCCACGTCTGGAATCTTCCTTGGCAGAAACTTTGTTTCCCTGATATCTCTCTGAATATGACTTGAAAGGTAGGAAGCTATTCAGAGGGACCTAATGAAGACCTTACCACTCCTCATAAAATCTCTAGCTATCTCCTGTATTTTTGAGGTTTTCCTGCTACTTAGAGTATGGATTCAACCCTAGGTCCAACACACTGAAACTGAGAGGAGGGGCTAAGAACTTGGTATAATAATGCACCAAATCCCCTGAGCAACCTTTTGAAGGATCTTTGAGTGCTCCTCCTCCCCAGCTATCATCACCCTGAGGGCCTAGTGACATCCCTGACTGTATCCCATCCCCACCTTTCCCTGTCCTGCTTTGGAAGTGTTAGCTCCTCTGTTAGTTTGGGATGGTTGCTGACCTTCCCCTGTGCCTGTTTCCCCTCTGTACTGCCACCTTTCCAGTCTCAAGGTAAACTTTCTTTTGTGTGAATTTAGATGTGCAAACTCCCCTTTAAGCCTCAGGCCTATTGCAATGGACTGGATTAAAATCTTGATCTCCTAATTTGTAAAACCCCAGGAGTGTGTGATTTTGAGGTCACTTTTACCTCCAAAAAGTACAAATTTATAGGCTTCTAGTTCTGCCCTCTGGGCGTAAGCAAAAAAATTCTAATCTCTTTTCTACTACAATCTTGTGATAGCTATAGTAGCTATCATATCTCCCTTAAGTCTTCTCTTTTCCAGGCTTAATATCTCCAATTCCTTCAACTTGTTTTTGTATAGTATGATTTCAGCCACCCAGTCATCCTGGTCTCCCTCCTGCTTACCCTCCTGTGTACAGTCTTTCTTATTAATGTAGTTTCTGAAATATAGCACCCATAATTGAATACAGTTCTCTGGATGTGGTCTGGCAAGGGCAGAGTGCAGTAGGACTTTGCAACTTACATGATTACTGCATTTCATGGAAACAGAAAACCCCACCCCACACCCTAGAAGGCAGAAAAAATAGGGGAGAGCATGAAAAAAAGGGGACAGCCTTTGATTCTTATTTTAAAAGCACATGTAACAGAATCATATGACCACCAGGGTATTGGCTGTTCTGAATCACTTTGAGATCTTCTTCCCCTAACTATATTCAAGAGGCTTTGCTCTGTTACCCTTTTATCCTTCTGGGATAAAAACCCTTCAGTAGATCAAAGGTTCCATTTTGGATGAGTGTCTTAATGTGAGACCACCAAATGCTGTTTCAGCTGAAATAAGATGAAGAACTCTGGTCTCCAGATGACTGTGTTACCTTAAAGCTGCATTTTATAGTGAGCAGGACAGCTGGTGTGTTTTATTGACCGTTTTGTCTTTGGTGGATATCAGAGAAGCTATGTATATAAATCATGAGCAAATTGACTACCTTTATGAGTTGCCATTCATACTTTGCTCAACTAACTTTGGAAAAACAGGTGGTTGTCTAGCTACTCAGAATTCCTCCTGTTGATTATAATTTCACTAGTTCAGGTTCTCCAGAGTGATTTGCCAAAGGAGGGATGATTCTAGTTGAGAGGGGTATATTTGCTAAATGCTCATAATTAATTGCAGCCTACTCCTAATTGAACCTTTGCTGTCCTTGTAAGTACAGTAGTTTTCCTAAAGATTGAGACAAACACTTAATGAGCTATGAATATTTTTTTTCACTTATAACAAGTAATCTTTCTGTTGCTTACTCACAATTTTGTATTATGCAAATATCAGCTAGTAATTATATTAGTTCAGAAATGGAAAGAATAATTGTTTCACTGATGTCTAAAAGGTCAAAGTCTAGGCATGTTTTTAATCTATTCTTGACTGTGACTTATTTTAAAATCTTTGGAGTGAGGGGTAGGTAATTCAGAGAATAGTGAGTTGAGTGAATTAGATTCTCTAATTTATCTATTTGACTTGGAGTCAAAAAAGGAATAAGTGTGTTCTCTTGGTTACAGATATATGCTTGGAGGCAGAAACTGGGAATTGTACTCTGTACTTAAGTGTCATTGCTTCATCCTTCCTAAACCTTAGCCATAGTATGACCTCCAGTCCCTCTCTACAAGTTCTCCTCATCATTCACCCTTGCTTTAGACTCCTTTCCTTCCCTTCATAGTCTTGACAGCATGGCTGTAACAGATCCCATACCTGGGCTATGCCTATCATTCACTTCTCCATTCATACTCATGCTGCTGAACTTCCCTAGAGGAAATTGCACAAACATACTACTTCACTTCCCTATAGGTCTGTTATCCAGTTATCCTCTGGGCCCTCATTGTTGCACAGAGGTCCTTTTATCATTTCTTCACTGACTTTGCAATTATACTCTCCATAGTAACTAAACCAGATCTCTCCTCAGACCTCCTACACTGCTTTCTCCCAAATTCCTTCTCAGAAGACCTTACCTGCCTATTCTTTTCTAGGGAAATAAAGTCAGTGCATCTCAAGCCCCCTTTTCTTCAGTGCATGCCTCAAAACCTTCCTTTAACATTTCCATTCTCTCCTTCTTTGCTGCACTCCCTATTGTAGAATTGGATCTTCTCTTTGCCAGTTTAACTCTTAAACTTGTGCTGTTGATCCTGTCCCTTACCCTCTCCTATGGGAGTTGACCTTTAATCCTTCCCTCTCTATCATCTTTTATAGCTTCTTTTCTGCTAGCTCTTTACCTTCCAACTACAATCATGCCCAGGTTCTTTGTATCTTTAAAAAAAAAACTACTTCATTTGAGGCTGCCATTCCTTAAAAATTTCATCCTATCTCTACTCCCTTTCACCGGCAAACTCCCTGTTACTTTCATTTCCTTACTTTTGACTCATTTCTGAGTTCTCTGCAATCTGGTTTCAAACCTCAGCATTCTGTTGAAACTCCTCTCTCCAAAGTTGCCAGAAGTGATCTCTTAAGGGCTAAATCCACTGACCTCTTCTCAGTCCTCATCCTTCTTGACTTCTCTGCAGTGTTGACACTGCCAATTATACACTTCTCCTGAATATTTTCTTCTCCCTTTTTTGATACTGTTCACTTAATTTTCTTCTTACCTGCATGACCATTCATTTTCAGTGTATGTTACTGCATCATCCCTTTTCTCCCACCTGCTAAGCATGGCTATCGCTTAAGATTCTGTTTTGTACTCACTCCTCTTTTTTCTCTTCACTCTTACTTGGTGATCTCATCGGTGCCTGTAAATTCATTTATATTCTGTGTGCAATAAACTTCCTTATCTATTCATGTTTTCCTCATGTAACCCAGGACCCAGTCCTGTTCCCTCTACTCAGCATCCCCTTTCCCTTCTGAATCCTCTGGTCACACACATATTAGGTCCAGTTCTGGGACCTTGAATCCAACAGGATCATTTTCTCTTTGACTCATTACCTGCACTTAGAGTTGCTCCAAGAAAATCTCCATATATATTCAATATACATAGATTATGTCTAGATTTCTCCAGGTGTGGGTAAAAGAGGTACCTAGTTCCCATAAAAGGACTCAAATTACCAAATCCACATGAAGTATATGACAACCTTTATTTCACCCCACAGAAACTGAAGAAGACACAAAGACTCACGAAAGCCTTTGAACAGGTACAGAAAGTATATAAAATACTTAAATAGCCCAGAAACTATATTCCTCCCCCCAAAAGGAAATTGGATTTGTGATCCTATTAGGACAATACCTTGACATTCCAATGATATCCTTCTCTCCCACGGGGTCATGCATAGTCCCTCTGAGATTCATTGTGCCACCTTGTTATGTAGTCTCCTGGAAAATATATTTTGAGGATTAATAAGCAACCTGGTTTCTGTTGGATTTGTACTGTCTCTCCAGTACAGCACTGGATCCAGCATAGCACAAATCCACTGGATTTGCTCCCCAAGTAGGACACTGAATAGCAGCTATGTTGACTCCTCCTCTTCATCATGCAAGGAGCATACTTCATTAAAAAATATTTTCTCTCAAAACACTCTCATGCCCTAACTCTTGAATATAGAAACCTTAAATAGGGGCTCCCACAAGGCAACTCCCAAACTGGGTCTGCTCCTCTTGGGTCAAGTGGGTATACATATTTTTGTATCTTCCATGTTCTCCTCAGTGACTTGGGCGCTACTGTCTACTTAACTAGGAAAGCCCACACTCAGGATCTCTACTCTCAGGTCACTTGTAGGAAGGACACATCTCCTGTGAGTGCCTCTACCACAAGTTATTGTATGTACTTCTGGGATTGGAGGGGAAAAATATGGAAATCTGCCTGTCTGTCTCCAGACCCCACTCATTAATAAAGAAATCAGAAAGGGAAGAAGCAAAATAGAAGTCCTCAAGAGAGAGATACCACTCAGCTTACTTTTTATAGACCATGAGGAAGAGTAGCAGATTCTTAGTCTGACAGTCATCAGGAGACAATACTAGTCTCTGAAACTCAGTCAGTATTCTCATCTGAGTGGAAATACTCATATTCCATGAGAAGCTACTTACAGTTGCTGCCAAACGGTAGCCTACTTTCCATAATTCTACCAATTTGATTAGGGAAACTCTTTATATTGATCAGTGGCTCCCATGATCACTCCCTTACATTTATAGTACTCCAATATCGACTTTACCTTCCACACCTCCTTCCCCAGTTTAAAAGTGATCTCTCCCTCATCTCACAGTACTTGTACATTTACATTCTGATTTGTGTTATATTAATTTGTATATAGTTTATCACCCTTATGATATTAAAAACTCCTTGAGGGCAAGGACTATGTGATTTATCATTCTAACTTTTCAAAATTTAACACAGTGAATTTGCACACGATGGTTACAAAACAATGTGTGTTGATTGAATGGAGAAATGGATGTATACTCTGCTACTTTAAAAGATCGTTGATTTCATTGGTGTGGATATTCCCTTAACTTACCCATATCATAACCACTCCATGCCTTCTGATTCTATATGATTCTCTTTCTGTTTTTTCCAGAAACTTTCCAGCTTACTAGACACCTTCTCATTCTTAATATCTTAGAGGTACTAGTGTATGTACTCAGATTTTCCATTTGTTCCTGATCATTCTTGATGTATGCTTGGCTTTTTTGTTATACCTATCTTCAGTGAAATCTTTGATGTCACTTTGAGCACACAAGACTAGAGAATTTGAGGTACATTGGTAAAAAACTTGTGCTTGCCATATGCCATTCCATTGCCCTTTAATAGCAATGTAATTTACTGTAATTTTAGTCCCTTTGATCATGAATTTAATTTTGCTGAGATCATTACTTGTTAGCATCACTAGAATATTTTTGATTAAAGAGAATGATTTCTTTAGCAAGTAAGCAGTTTTGGGTCATTGAAAGCATTTTGCAATTTACCAAATGCAGTCCAGGCCAAACTCTCCTCCTATCTTCCTCAATTATAGCTTAGCTTATTATCTATCTTCATTGCTTGTCAAAGATGTAGTATTGGTGGACAAATGGATTTCCAGCTTAGTTCTCATCCCCTTTTTTGCGTGTATGTGACTGTGTAGTGCATTCTCTTGTTTTACTATGAATTTATGTAGGGAGATTTTTTGGTATCCTGAGTTCAAAACAGTTGCTTCAATATTCTCTTGGAGGAGACAGCATTGTGTCATGGAATCCAAAGATTTAGGATTAAATCCAGTAGTACCAGTGTGATCTTAGGAAAAAATCCTTTAACCTCATTGGACCACACTCTTTTCCTTAAAATGAGATGATAACCTCAGTTCCTACAAATTTTCTCTTAGAACTTTTCTTTTTAGAATAATCATTTATGTTTAGGGTTGTCAGAAAATGTTGCAATAACCTAAGCCAGTAAAGTATACCATCCTACAAAGAAGAATCATAGAATTTTATATGAACAATTTGCAGCATAATGAGGACCTTGGAGATCATTTGGGCCAACCCACTCATTTTAGAAATGAGTAATTGAAGCCCGAAAAGGCACATGATTTGCCTAAAGTCTCAGAGCTTTAGATTGTCAGGTCTTCTGACTCCTACTTTGTTCCTCATTTCACCATATCATATTGTCTAACCACAGATAAAAGTTGAGTACTTTAAGTAAATAGCATTTACTAAAATATCAGTGAGTTTATCTTTCCTATAGCCTATTCATGATTACATTGCAACTTTTGGGGAGATGAATGAAGGTTCTTGATGTTTGGTTGTGCTATTATTACTCATAAATACCACATCTATTCGTTTGGTAACAGATTCTACCTTCGGCCAATAGCTAGATACCTATCCCAGACAAACTTTTTATTTTGATGTGTATATTTGTATTCATTCTCCATCTCTCTCTTTAAGATATAGGGATATATAGTATTTTGAATAATAGGCAATATATGTACCAAGCATATGTTGGAAAGAATGCTGCATTTGGAGCTAGAAGACTTATTTATGTTGGAGTTTTTGTGTAAAAGCTTTATGACCTTCAGCAAGTCACTTAACCTCATTAAGATTCCTTAAGATATAGTTTTCTCACTTATAAATTGGGAATATTTGCACTGACTAGGTCACAGGATTATTATGAGGAGAATACTTTTAAAACCTTAAAATACTTTTCAAATATCAATTATTTTATGCAAAAAACAAGTTCCCATTTATCCAGAACCCAAATAAGTGGATTTTTTAAAACTCTGCTTTTATGAAAAGTAGACAAAGAAGTTTCTGTGTCATGGGTCAGTAAAAAGAATTAGAAATATTAAACTGTTATGTCCAAAGCAGTTTCAGGACTTTAGTTATCTATGATTCTCTTTGGTGTGGTTATATCCAAAAAACCCTATGCTTTAAGCAGGCAGTATTCATGACTTGCTATGACTGAAAAAATTCAGTTTTCCTGATTATGAACCTTTCCAATCTTAACTAGGCTGTTCTTTAGATATTAGACATGCAGTCTATCTCCAGACCTGTACTGAAGGATTTTCCCCAAAAACAAAAAAATCTTAATGCCTCTATGGTGTGTAGAATAATGCTACTAATTCAGTTTCCTAGTACAACAGATTATAGGTATTGGAAGAGACCTAAAAGGTCATTCAGTCCAACTGCCTTACAGCTGAGAAGAACTGAACATAATAACTCCTTGGATCATAGAATTTAGAGCTGACGGGGACCTTAGGGATCTTAGATATCATTTTGCAAATGGAAAAACTGAAGCCAAAAGAGTTTAAATTTAAGCCTAGAGACTTACCTAAGGTCAGTTAGAGTCAGAGTTTGAACACAGGTCTTTAGGCTCCAAAGCCAGTGTTTTCCACAGTTCCACAATCCTTCTAGAACAAGAGTCTATGGCATTTTCTCTTTAATGAATATGGTCTAGCATTACAGTACAACTGTACCTTACCAAGCTTATAGCAAATTTTTTATTTCATTTATGTTTTCTTATAATTATGCAATACAAAGTTGGTACAAGTAAGCACTAGATGCTTTAAAGAGAGCAAAGCAAATGAACCCATAGAGGAGGTTTATTGATATTCAGCCTAATTTTTATCATCAATTCTATTCTGACTAAAAAGTTATAGGAAAATTTATAGGCTTTTTTCTCCTTCATGTAAGATCTAAGCTTGCCTTTTATTTTCATCGGCCTTTGTCCTTTATCTCTTCAACCATCTTATTATTTATCAATTGCTTTGTGCTAGATACAAACCTTGCAACTTTGATGTGGCAACATGAATAATGTTGTCATTGATCTCAGCCTGAGCAGAATAGTGCATCCTCAAAATAGGAAGAAGTTTTTAGCTTCAGGTTGTTTCAGCCCTGCACGCCATGCCTAGACTGCAGCATGAAGTCAGTTGCTTCTCTCCAAACAGCACTCTATTAATATGCACAACATGACCATTTTCAAGAGAAGGTTATTAGAATGCTAGTTTGTATCCTCTAGTGAATGAAATGATGTGTGATTATGAAGTCATCAGGCATGGACCAGTAAGACTCCAGAGAGCCTTCCCCCTCTAAGGTCCTCAGGGTGCCATTGATTGGTGACCATGTGTTTGTGCCCGATAGACTGTGAAATGGTGTGTTGCTACACGGCTGTGTTGCACCTGCGCCCCACCGAGGTGATTGATTGGTTTGGTCATGTGGAATGTTCCCATCTGGTCTGCAGTAATGTGTTTTTTTTTTTCATCTTGTGAATAGCAAGTGCTGGTTGGATAGTTACAGCAAGCAGTTTCAGAGGCTAAACAATTCTTTTCCTCTAAAAACAAACTGGGGTTTGAGGGAGTTTGTTTTTGCTTGCATTATTTTTATAAAAGGTAGTCATTCCATGTCTTGTTCTCCTCCCCCTCCTTCTTGGCACATTTTCTGTGTGTGTGTGTGTGTGTGTGTGTATCCCCCCACTCGTAATCCTAAAAGAGATAGTACAGTATATTTCTACTTTGTACAAGACTGAAGTAAAAATAATTATTTTTTCAGTGTGGTGATCTGACATGCCACTTGAGGTATCTTGAGGTTTTCTTTGGGTTTTTCTTTAAAAGATGGTTTCTCTGATTATAATTGAATTATAAAAGTAGTGATGCATTTTAAGCCCTCATTTAACCTCACAAAAGTAGTGGTTTATTTATTGAAAACTACTGATGTTGCAGTTTAAATGTCAAGAAATTATTTATTAGCTTCTTTTTAAAAAAGATTCTATAGTTATATTGGGCGGTCTTGTTTGATATTTCTTAATCTCAGTCCTTTTTCATAATTGATCTATTCATTCCACCTAATGACTAATTACATATCAGAGCACATCATCAGCCACATTCATCATCGTAGAATGTAATAATCAATGACAT